AAAAAAAAAAAAAAAAAAAAAAAAAGATAGTTTACAAATTTTTTAAAACTTTTTTCTTTTTTGGGTAAATAAATCTATATAGTTTTTAAGTAAAGAAATTATTGAACACTAAATTTAATTAAATACTAATGAATTGTTTTAAAATTTTAGGGTTGGATTAGATAGTCACTTAACCTCTTTTTAATTAATTATTTCGTTTAGAAATGTATTAGATGTTTTAAAATTAAAATTGTAGGATTGGAATAGATTCTCACCTCAAATAGTTTGTTAAACTTGCAGTTTGAATTTAAGAGTACTTTTGAATCGTTAAGGTTCCAGTTTGCTTATGGGTTTTATTCTTTTAGAAATTTATAGAAGGGAAAAAAATTAATTTCAAAAGCAAAATATAGATTTTAAAATATTAATCTTTAAAGATGTCATAATCCTCCTACATAGATTTTAATTAAAGAAAGTAAAAGTATCACCAAACCATATTAAATTTATAAGAAAACATTAACACAACAATTATAAGAAAACAGCAAGACGAGATGAGTGCAGTAGAACTGATTCAAAATTCTCAAGGGTTCCAGTTTTAAGAGTAAATGTGGCGACGCATCATAATCACTCTAGAAGAATTAAAAAAGTTGTAAACTAGCAAACAAACAAAATCCAAATGGATTTTAAATTAATAACCCAATAATTAGCAGCAGCGGGGATTTTATAATAGTAATTATTTAGGCTTGGAAATGAGAGTCTCGATGAGATCCGCAGCCTCTTGGACGGTGGTAATGCTTTGGGCGCTCTCTTCTTCCACGCTGATGTCAAATTCCTCTTCCAGTCCCATCACAATCTCAACCTACATCCACCACCATCTCAATTCTATTTTAATCCTTCCCTTTTTTGCTCATAAAATAAAATAAAACGGGAAAGAATAAACAATGATACTTAAATGCTTATTCAGTTTTTAGATATAAAACCTAATTCGACCAAACTATAATTAATTACAGGCATACATAATAAAATGACTTTTTAAGAGCTTAACCATTTTTAACACTCTAAAACAAACTGTCATTCCAAACAACTACATAATATAGACGGCGTTAATAAGTTCTAAGAAAAAAAAATCTAAACTAATTTTGTAAAACTGTTCTTTTCTCTGTAAAATTATCAAACGGTTCGGAAGAGTATTTATTTAACACTTAAGTTTTCTTTTACGTAAATATATGTTCTTAAAAAATATAACACATTTTAAGTGATGTTTTATAAAACTAAAAAATTATAAAAAATAAATAAAACTGACAGAAGGTGACTACAATTCTGTATTCTACTATTTGATAGCTGACAGAAAGTGACTATAAAAGTTTGATAGCTGCTTTTCTTTTCGTTTTTTTTTTTCATTTTTTCACTAATTAAAGAAATGATGAAATCTTTTACAATTGTGGAGACATAAAATTAAAATTAGTAAATGAGAAGACTGGGAAAGAAAAATAGGTAGAGAGATAATATTAGCCAGAGAAAAAAAAAAATAGAGAGCAAAAATTTGAATAAAAAGACCTATGAGATTCGATCACTCGCACGTAAAAGAAATTATTTAGAGAAAAATTCAAAAAAATCAAAAAGTAATAAAAGAGAGGAGAAATTTGGTGTAAAAAAAAGTAAAATTGCGGAAAACAGATTTTTTTTTTTTTTTTTTTTTT